GGTTAAAGGTTTCTTGGTGGGTATTTGATATTCCAGAACTGCAATTTTGTTCTGGAGGACGTTTGGTTTTGGTTAAAGGTTTCTTGGTGGGTATTGCTATGCCGGGTGTCTCCCCTGCAGGACGTGAAGATGCTGATGCACATCCAGGTGAGGAGCCACCAGGCCAGCCAAGCTCCCGGGCTGGCCCTGCCTGTCCCGGGACAAACGCCCCTGGCACAGAATCCCGCCGTGCCAGGCAGGCAGCGCCCAGCGGGCAGCAGAGAGGTGCCACGGCAAAGGTTGGTGACCCCAAACCCTTCTGCTGGCGGCTTTCGGGGTGAAGATGCCCAAAAGGTGCATCCCTCTTCTTCTCTTTGTTGGGTTGGCTTGAAAAACGCGTGGAGGAACAGCTTTTTGGGGTTTTTTGTGTGTTACTGGTGTTGGTGGAATTGCTGGGAGTCTGGCTGGGCAGCCAGTGGATGTGTACACAGGTGGGAAATAGATTTGTAGGGAATTTTTAAAGTTGATAATGTGTATTTGTATGTAAATTTGGAGATAAGACATGCTAATTAGAAAAGCTAAATAGAAAAGCTAATAGAAAAGCTCAAATGTTAAAATTTTTAGGGTTAGACCAAAGGTATATATACATATATTATATGCATTTGCAATATAATACATATATAATATGTATTTGTATGTAAATTTGGAGATAAGACATGCTAATTTGCAAATACATGTATACTATGTATTTGTATGTAAATTTGGAGATGAGACATTCTAATTAGAAAAGCTAAATAGAAAAGCTAATAGAAAAGCTCAAAGTTAAAATTTTTAAGGTATATAGTATGTGTTTGTACGTAAATTTTGATTTACATACAAAATTTTGTGTTTAATAGTCATGTATTTACAAATAAGACATGCTAATTTGTAAATGCATATATAGTATGTATTTGTATGTAAATTTTGAGATAAGACATGCTAATTAGAAAAGCTAATTAGAAAAGCTGAGTTTTCTGGAACATCGAGTTTTCTGGAACATTGAGTTTTCGGGAGCACTTACTGAGTTTTCTGGAACACTGAGTTTTCTGGAATATTCACTGAGTTTTCTGGAATATTCACTGAGTTTTCTGGAACATTGAGTTTTCTGGACTATGAACTGAGTTTTCTGGAATACGAACTGAGTTTTATAGAATATTTACTGAGTTTTCTGGAACATAGAGTTTTCTGGAACACTGAGTTTTCTGGACTATGAACTGAGTTTTCTGGAATACGAGCTGAGTTTTATAGAATATTGACTGAGTTTTCTGGAACATTGAGTTTTCTGGAATACGAGCTGAGTTTTATAGAATATTGACTGAGTTTTCTGGAACATGGAGTTTTCTGGAACACTGAATTTTCTGGAATACGAGCTGAGTTTTACAGAGTATTTCCTGAGTTTTCTGGGAGGTTAAGCGAGTTTTCTGGCGTGTTTTCTGCTTTTGCAGCTGGCAGGACCTGGCTGGCGGGAGGAAGGCCCAGGGGGCCGAGGAAGAGGCAGGAGACCACCCCGGGGTGCCCCCGGGTGCCCCCCGGGCCGGGCAGAGGGGGCAGAGGGGGCAGAGGGGCAGCCCCCGGCCCCCCGGCACAGGGGCAGAGCGGGCAGCAGAGAGGGCGGCCGAGGAGGAGCTGGAAATGGGTATGGCAATAATTTTCTTTATAATGTTTATTAGAAATTATTATCCAATTATTATACCAATTATTATAAGTTATTAACCAATTCTTATCCAATTATTATAAATTATTATACCAATTATTATCTTTACTTGAAGGCGTGGCACTGCTGTCGGGCTAAAATCAATTTATTTTTCAGAGAAACATCAGCCTCGAAGGCCGTGAGAGTTAATTTTTTTTTTTTTTAATTATTAAACTCAAATTTAAAATATTAAAATTTTAAAATTCTGTTTCAACGTTTCAAAAGCAGTCAAAGGTTTATTTGTTACAAGGCAATATCTAACACTCTAATCCAATGGAAAGCTGCCACAATGTTGATTTTGTTTTTCAAACCCATCACTTTTACTTAATTCTACCGCACTGGGTATAATTTATCCAATGGGCTACTATTACATGTACACACATATCCTTCTATTATAATACATATTGTAATGATATAATTTATATATATAATATAATATTATTATAATATATATTATATATGTAACTATATGATGTAATATATATACTCTATATAATATATACTATATAATAATATGTAATACGTAATACGTAATATATAATATATAATATATAATATATAATATATAATATGTAATATGTAATATGTAATATGTAATATGTAATATGTAATATAGAGTATCTAATACAGAGTATAGAAAATAGTATATATATATAAAATATACTATATATTATATATGCTATATACTATATATAGTATATATTCTATATACTTATATACTATTATACTATATACTTATATACTATAAGTATATATAATGTTATATATATAACATATAACATATATAATAGATAATATTACATTTATATTCATAATATATATTATATATAAGTATATATAATATAATAATTATTATATAACAATGTTATCTTATATATTTATATTAGTAATATAATTTTAATATATTATATATATTATATATATTATATATATTTAATATTATATATCCTTATTATGTAATATATATAATTATATATTATACATAATATATAATTATATATTATATATCCTTAGCTGATTCTATACAATTACATTACTACTCTATAAACCCTTTCACCATCTTACCAATAGTTTCTCACTCACGGCACATTGTGACTTACACCTACAGCACATCAGTTCGCAGGGTTCCTGCTCTGTGTATTGATCTTCCCGCCGGGCCCTGCAGGGCCGGCCCTGTGTCCGGGGCGTGTCTGTGTGTCCCCGCGGAGCCCACGGGGCTCTGCGTGCCCCGGGAGCTCCGGAGGAGCCCGCCAAGGGCTGCCTGTGGCTTCAGGGAGACCCCGCTGACTGCCTGTCCCTGTCCCTGTCCCTGTCCCTGTCCCTGTCCCTGTCCCTGTCCCCATCCTGTCCCTGTCCCTGTCCCCATCCCTGTCCCTGTCCCTGTCCCTGTCCCTGTCTCCGTCCCTGTCCCCATCCCTGTCCCCATCCCTGTCCCTGTCCCTGTGCCTGCTCCTGTCCTTGCCCCTGTCCCTGCCCATGTCCCTCTCCCTGCTGCCATCCCCATCCCTGTCCCTGTCTCTCTCCCTGCCCCTGTCCCCATCCCCGTCCCCATCCCTGCTCCTGTCCCCATCCCTGTCCCCGTCCCTGTCCCTTTCCCTGTCCCCATCTTCATCCCTGTCCTCATCCCCGTCCCTGCTCCTGTCCCTGTCCCCATCCCTGTCCCCATCCTGTCCCTGTCCCTGTCCCTGTCCCTGTCCTTGCCCCCATCTCCATCCCTGTCCCCATCCCTGTCCGTCCCTGCCCCTGTCCCCATCCTGTCCCTGTCCCCATCCCTGTCCCCATCCCTGTCCCTGTCCCCATCCCTGTCCCCATCCCTGTCCCCATCCCTGTTCCCATCCCTGTCCCCATCCTGTCCCTGTCCCCATCCCTGTCCCTGTCCCCATCCCTGTCCCCATCCCTGTCTCCATCCCCGTCCCTGTCCCGGCAGATGCAGGAGTCATCGGCAGGGAGGAGCACTCTCAGCCCGCGCTCCAGGAGCCCATGGTGAGTGACCCCAGCATCACAAACCCGCCCCAAGGCTTGGAAGGGACCTTCAGTCTCATCTCAGCCCGTCCCAGCCACGGGCAGGGCCACCTTCCCCCGTGCCAGGGTGCTCCAAGCCCTGCCCAGCCTGCCTGGGAAAATGTTCATCTTTTCATCCTGCCCCGCTTCGCCTGGATGCAACATCTGCCTCGGAACAGGAGCACAAAAAGTCAATAATCACAGAAGTTTCTGTGAAGTGCACCTCCAAACTCCTCGCGGGTGGAGGGACAGCAAAGGTTGTTTTGGGGTTTTTAAGAAACTTGCTGGGGAAGGCAGGTTTGTGCCTCCTGAGGGAATACCCTTCCACAGGAGGCTTTTCTTGTCCAGATGCCAGATGATGCTGCAGATCCTGCCCAGGACCCCAATAACCAAGGCGAGGATGAGTTTGAGGAGGCTGAGCTGGAGAGACCCGACTTTGAGGAGAAGGTGGGAGGCTTGGAGAAGTTGAAGGAGCCCAGCTTTAAAGAAGAGTCGAAGGAGAAGCCACCAAAGGTGACTGGCTGGGGACAACCAGCAGGGCCAGGGAGGGATGTCCAGCTGAGGATGCATGGGTGGGCTTGGGAGAGTTTAAGGACTGGGAGGGAAACATCAGATTCCTGGAGGGATCCATAATGTGGCAGGTGGGAGAAAGCTCTTTGGCACGTTGGTCAAAACCAACCTATTTTTTCTTCCCCTGGTTGTAATGGAGCCTGAAATTTATGTTTCATAGGACTTTTTGGTTCTTTGTTTTCATCCTGCTTTGGTTTTTCACCAGCACAACCAGCTGTGCAAGTCCAGCTCTGGTGCAGAGTGGAGCAGAATAAGCAGAGGTGCCAGAGGTTAGGAATTTATCTTTTAGCCATGCACCAGAGCTTGCTCTGGCCTCATCCTCTCTGCTTGTTGGAGCCCACCCTGGCACTTGCAACACCTTTAGAGATGGGGAGATGTGGAATTGGGGCCTTTCATGCATTGGGAGCAGAACCAGAGGCAATGATCTGAGTCTGTGCTCAGTTCTGGGCAGTGCAGCCCTGTCCAAGGCTCCTGGCAGTGTGTCAGAGCTCTGCCTCCTTGTTTGCTTCCTTGCAGATGGAATCCATTTGTTTCACCAAGTGTTTCTTGCTGCCTGAAGCCAGACTCTGCATCAGGGAAATGTTCATTTGTTTTGACAAGCAGCTGAACGTTGCTTGTTTTAAAAAAGGACTGTTTTATCTGTCAGGCTCTAAAATCATGATTAATGGTGGGATGAAGAAAGAAAAAAGAAATCCAGGCCAATGAAATCAAATAAAAGAGAGGTGCTGGCACCAGAAGAGCAACACCTCCTTGAGATTAGTGCAAATGTGGAAAGAATTCATGACATAAATACCTGGATTTCAGATCTGGCTGTGCTGTGCTCCCTAAAATTCTACCCTAAATCACCCAAAGTTTTCCAGAATTCTGGGGCTTGAGGCAACAGCCCTGGGGCCCTCCTGAGAGGAGCTGCCAGCAGGTGGGAAAAGAGGCTGGATGGAAAAAGCAAATGGAGTTTTTGTTGCCTGATTGTAGATGCAGGGAGCTGTGTCCCTGGCAGGGGTGGGAGCAGGCTGGGGCACTCCCAACCCTGCCTGGCTGTGTTTTTCAGGATGCTGGCAGACCTGCCAAGCCCAGGGAAGACCCTCTGGAGGACTACCAAGAAGATCAGGAGCAAGAAATTGTACGACACCAAGGTTCTTCCTCTTTCCCTCTCTGGTGTGGGCTCGCCTGGGGGTGTTGGCAGCCTGGAGCTTGGGGGGACTCAGGTTTTAGGGAGCCAGGTGTGAGCAGGGCCTCCAGGTGTGCCTCAGTGAGGTGTCCAGAGCAAAGCTGGAGCCCACTGCTGCCTTTTCCAGGTGTTCAGAGCACCCTCTGTGCTCTTTGTCCCCTCCTCCCTCGTGTCTGCATCCACCTGCAGCAGCTGAGCTGTGGGATGATTCCCAAACAGCAGCTGGGAGGAATCACAGGGGGAATCACAGGGGGAATCACAGGGGGGATCAATCACAGGGGGAATAAATCACAGGGGGAATCACAGCAGGAATCACAGGGGGGATCAATCACAGGGGGAATCACAGCAGGAATCAATCACAGGAGGAATCAATCACAGCAGGAATCACAGCAGGGATCAATCACAGCAGGAATCAATCGCAGCAGGGATCAATCGCAGGGGGAATCAATCACAGCAGGAATCACAGCAGGAATCAATCACAGGGGGAATCAATCACAGCAGGAATCACAGCAGGAATCAATCACAGGGGGAATCATAGCAGGAATCAATCACAGGGGGAATCAATCACAGCAGGAATCACAGCAGGAATCAATCACAGGGGGAATCATAGCAGGAATCAATCACAGCAGGGATCAATCACAGCGGGAATCAATTGCAGCAGGGATCAATCACAGAGGAATCAATGACAGCAGGAATCAATGACAGCAGGAATCAATCACAGAGGAATCAATCACAGCAGGGATCAATGACAGCAGGAATCAATGACAGCAGGAATCAATCACAGAGGAATCAATTGCAGCAGGGATCAATCACAGAGGAATCAATGACAGCAGGAATCAATGACGGCAGGAATCAATGACAGCAGGAATCAATCACAGGGGGAATCAATCACAGCAGGAATCACAGCAGGAATCAATCACAGGGGGAATCATAGCAGGAATCAATCACAGCGGGAATCAATTGCAGCAGGGATCAATCATAGAGGAATCAATGACAGCAGGAATCAATGACAGCAGGAATCAATGACAGCAGGAATCAATCACAGAGGAATCAATCACAGCAGGGATCAATCACAGAGGAATCAATGACAGCAGGAATCAATGACAGCAGGAATCAATCACAGAGGAATCAATCACAGAGGAATCAATCACAGCAGGAATCGAGGCTGTGCCAGTGCACCAAGGCCAGATCAAAGCTTTTCAAGCAAGAGCTCGAGAGGCTCACCCTGGTACCTTGTGGCTCTCAGAGATAGAAATGAATCCTCTTCCAGCCTCATCCATTCTCCCCCTGCTCTTTCTGAGTGGCTCCTGAGGGTTTTTCTGCAGTTTTCCCAGGAGTGCTGAGGAGCTGAGGGTTTGGAGTGGGGAAATACGGGCTGGGCAGGGTTGGTGTCAGGGAACTGAGTGATTCCAGGCCTCTTGCAGGTGTCTACAATGGATGGTTGGAGCTAAAATCATCCATGGAGGCTGTGCTGGCTGCTGCGTGGCCTGGGTGGGGCTGGTGACACAGTTTTAAATGTGGTGGCTGTAAAACTTCCCCTCCTCATTCCTGCTCTTTACATCTGCCCCTCGTTCTGCTCCTCCTGCAGCAGAGGAAGAGGCAGAGATGCCCGAGTTGCATTGCACTGCCAGGATATGAAATGTGCTTCAAACACCTCCGTGTCCTGCCAGGGACACCTGAGGGTGCCTGGCTGGGGGAACCCCAGCCTTGCTCTGGGGTCCCGTGTGGTGGTGAAATTTCTCCTCCAACCCATGATTCCAAAGAAAAATTCTGCAGCCTCTTGTTGTTCGGTCTCAAGGCAGTTTATTGTGAATTATCTAAAAGATTTTCTTCTGGGGCTGCTGTGGATTGCTCAGCAGCTCAGGCAGAGGCACACACACACCCTGACATCCTCTCTGACTGTGTCTTCTTCTTCTCTCCCCCCTCCCAGGGCTGCTGCTCTCTTTTATATGGTACATTACATGTTACATATTTATAGTTTTTCCCCAATACCTACTACCTGTATTACAAAGTGCTTTTCTACTCTAAACCAATCTGTGAGTGCCAACATCACCAAGAACATGGAGGCAAGGAAGANAATATAATGATAATAATAATAATATAACAATTATTGTATAGAATATATTGTATGTTATTGTTGTATAGTATATATAATAATTATTATATAACAATGTTATCTTATATATTTATATTAGTAATATAATTTTAATATATTATATATATTATATATATTATATATATTTAATATTATATATCCTTATTATGTAATATATATAATTATATATTATACATAATATATAATTATATATTATATATCCTTAGCTGATTCTATACAATTACATTACTACTCTATAAACCCTTTCACCATCTTACCAATAGTTTCTCACTCACGGCACATTGTGACTTACACCTACAGCACATCAGTTCGCAGGGTTCCTGCTCTGTGTATTGATCTTCCCGCCGGGCCCTGCAGGGCCGGCCCTGTGTCCGGGGCGTGTCTGTGTGTCCCCGCGGAGCCCACGGGGCTCTGCGTGCCCCGGGAGCTCCGGAGGAGCCCGCCAAGGGCTGCCTGTGGCTTCAGGGAGACCCCGCTGACTGCCTGTCCCTGTCCCTGTCCCTGTCCCTGTCCCTGTCCCTGTCCCTGTCCCCATCCTGTCCCTGTCCCTGTCCCCATCCCTGTCCCTGTCCCTGTCCCTGTCCCTGTCTCCGTCCCTGTCCCCATCCCTGTCCCCATCCCTGTCCCTGTCCCTGTGCCTGCTCCTGTCCTTGCCCCTGTCCCTGCCCATGTCCCTCTCCCTGCTGCCATCCCCATCCCTGTCCCTGTCTCTCTCCCTGCCCCTGTCCCCATCCCCGTCCCCATCCCTGCTCCTGTCCCCATCCCTGTCCCCGTCCCTGTCCCTTTCCCTGTCCCCATCTTCATCCCTGTCCTCATCCCCGTCCCTGCTCCTGTCCCTGTCCCCATCCCTGTCCCCATCCTGTCCCTGTCCCTGTCCCTGTCCCTGTCCTTGCCCCCATCTCCATCCCTGTCCCCATCCCTGTCCGTCCCTGCCCCTGTCCCCATCCTGTCCCTGTCCCCATCCCTGTCCCCATCCCTGTCCCTGTCCCCATCCCTGTCCCCATCCCTGTCCCCATCCCTGTTCCCATCCCTGTCCCCATCCTGTCCCTGTCCCCATCCCTGTCCCTGTCCCCATCCCTGTCCCCATCCCTGTCTCCATCCCCGTCCCTGTCCCGGCAGATGCAGGAGTCATCGGCAGGGAGGAGCACTCTCAGCCCGCGCTCCAGGAGCCCATGGTGAGTGACCCCAGCATCACAAACCCGCCCCAAGGCTTGGAAGGGACCTTCAGTCTCATCTCAGCCCGTCCCAGCCACGGGCAGGGCCACCTTCCCCCGTGCCAGGGTGCTCCAAGCCCTGCCCAGCCTGCCTGGGAAAATGTTCATCTTTTCATCCTGCCCCGCTTCGCCTGGATGCAACATCTGCCTCGGAACAGGAGCACAAAAAGTCAATAATCACAGAAGTTTCTGTGAAGTGCACCTCCAAACTCCTCGCGGGTGGAGGGACAGCAAAGGTTGTTTTGGGGTTTTTAAGAAACTTGCTGGGGAAGGCAGGTTTGTGCCTCCTGAGGGAATACCCTTCCACAGGAGGCTTTTCTTGTCCAGATGCCAGATGATGCTGCAGATCCTGCCCAGGACCCCAATAACCAAGGCGAGGATGAGTTTGAGGAGGCTGAGCTGGAGAGACCCGACTTTGAGGAGAAGGTGGGAGGCTTGGAGAAGTTGAAGGAGCCCAGCTTTAAAGAAGAGTCGAAGGAGAAGCCACCAAAGGTGACTGGCTGGGGACAACCAGCAGGGCCAGGGAGGGATGTCCAGCTGAGGATGCATGGGTGGGCTTGGGAGAGTTTAAGGACTGGGAGGGAAACATCAGATTCCTGGAGGGATCCATAATGTGGCAGGTGGGAGAAAGCTCTTTGGCACGTTGGTCAAAACCAACCTATTTTTTCTTCCCCTGGTTGTAATGGAGCCTGAAATTTATGTTTCATAGGACTTTTTGGTTCTTTGTTTTCATCCTGCTTTGGTTTTTCACCAGCACAACCAGCTGTGCAAGTCCAGCTCTGGTGCAGAGTGGAGCAGAATAAGCAGAGGTGCCAGAGGTTAGGAATTTATCTTTTAGCCATGCACCAGAGCTTGCTCTGGCCTCATCCTCTCTGCTTGTTGGAGCCCACCCTGGCACTTGCAACACCTTTAGAGATGGGGAGATGTGGAATTGGGGCCTTTCATGCATTGGGAGCAGAACCAGAGGCAATGATCTGAGTCTGTGCTCAGTTCTGGGCAGTGCAGCCCTGTCCAAGGCTCCTGGCAGTGTGTCAGAGCTCTGCCTCCTTGTTTGCTTCCTTGCAGATGGAATCCATTTGTTTCACCAAGTGTTTCTTGCTGCCTGAAGCCAGACTCTGCATCAGGGAAATGTTCATTTGTTTTGACAAGCAGCTGAACGTTGCTTGTTTTAAAAAAGGACTGTTTTATCTGTCAGGCTCTAAAATCATGATTAATGGTGGGATGAAGAAAGAAAAAAGAAATCCAGGCCAATGAAATCAAATAAAAGAGAGGTGCTGGCACCAGAAGAGCAACACCTCCTTGAGATTAGTGCAAATGTGGAAAGAATTCATGACATAAATACCTGGATTTCAGATCTGGCTGTGCTGTGCTCCCTAAAATTCTACCCTAAATCACCCAAAGTTTTCCAGAATTCTGGGGCTTGAGGCAACAGCCCTGGGGCCCTCCTGAGAGGAGCTGCCAGCAGGTGGGAAAAGAGGCTGGATGGAAAAAGCAAATGGAGTTTTTGTTGCCTGATTGTAGATGCAGGGAGCTGTGTCCCTGGCAGGGGTGGGAGCAGGCTGGGGCACTCCCAACCCTGCCTGGCTGTGTTTTTCAGGATGCTGGCAGACCTGCCAAGCCCAGGGAAGACCCTCTGGAGGACTACCAAGAAGATCAGGAGCAAGAAATTGTACGACACCAAGGTTCTTCCTCTTTCCCTCTCTGGTGTGGGCTCGCCTGGGGGTGTTGGCAGCCTGGAGCTTGGGGGGACTCAGGTTTTAGGGAGCCAGGTGTGAGCAGGGCCTCCAGGTGTGCCTCAGTGAGGTGTCCAGAGCAAAGCTGGAGCCCACTGCTGCCTTTTCCAGGTGTTCAGAGCACCCTCTGTGCTCTTTGTCCCCTCCTCCCTCGTGTCTGCATCCACCTGCAGCAGCTGAGCTGTGGGATGATTCCCAAACAGCAGCTGGGAGGAATCACAGGGGGAATCACAGGGGGAATCACAGGGGGGATCAATCACAGGGGGAATAAATCACAGGGGGAATCACAGCAGGAATCACAGGGGGGATCAATCACAGGGGGAATCACAGCAGGAATCAATCACAGGAGGAATCAATCACAGCAGGAATCACAGCAGGGATCAATCACAGCAGGAATCAATCGCAGCAGGGATCAATCGCAGGGGGAATCAATCACAGCAGGAATCACAGCAGGAATCAATCACAGGGGGAATCAATCACAGCAGGAATCACAGCAGGAATCAATCACAGGGGGAATCATAGCAGGAATCAATCACAGGGGGAATCAATCACAGCAGGAATCACAGCAGGAATCAATCACAGGGGGAATCATAGCAGGAATCAATCACAGCAGGGATCAATCACAGCGGGAATCAATTGCAGCAGGGATCAATCACAGAGGAATCAATGACAGCAGGAATCAATGACAGCAGGAATCAATCACAGAGGAATCAATCACAGCAGGGATCAATGACAGCAGGAATCAATGACAGCAGGAATCAATCACAGAGGAATCAATTGCAGCAGGGATCAATCACAGAGGAATCAATGACAGCAGGAATCAATGACGGCAGGAATCAATGACAGCAGGAATCAATCACAGGGGGAATCAATCACAGCAGGAATCACAGCAGGAATCAATCACAGGGGGAATCATAGCAGGAATCAATCACAGCGGGAATCAATTGCAGCAGGGATCAATCATAGAGGAATCAATGACAGCAGGAATCAATGACAGCAGGAATCAATGACAGCAGGAATCAATCACAGAGGAATCAATCACAGCAGGGATCAATCACAGAGGAATCAATGACAGCAGGAATCAATGACAGCAGGAATCAATCACAGAGGAATCAATCACAGAGGAATCAATCACAGCAGGAATCGAGGCTGTGCCAGTGCACCAAGGCCAGATCAAAGCTTTTCAAGCAAGAGCTCGAGAGGCTCACCCTGGTACCTTGTGGCTCTCAGAGATAGAAATGAATCCTCTTCCAGCCTCATCCATTCTCCCCCTGCTCTTTCTGAGTGGCTCCTGAGGGTTTTTCTGCAGTTTTCCCAGGAGTGCTGAGGAGCTGAGGGTTTGGAGTGGGGAAATACGGGCTGGGCAGGGTTGGTGTCAGGGAACTGAGTGATTCCAGGCCTCTTGCAGGTGTCTACAATGGATGGTTGGAGCTAAAATCATCCATGGAGGCTGTGCTGGCTGCTGCGTGGCCTGGGTGGGGCTGGTGACACAGTTTTAAATGTGGTGGCTGTAAAACTTCCCCTCCTCATTCCTGCTCTTTACATCTGCCCCTCGTTCTGCTCCTCCTGCAGCAGAGGAAGAGGCAGAGATGCCCGAGTTGCATTGCACTGCCAGGATATGAAATGTGCTTCAAACACCTCCGTGTCCTGCCAGGGACACCTGAGGGTGCCTGGCTGGGGGAACCCCAGCCTTGCTCTGGGGTCCCGTGTGGTGGTGAAATTTCTCCTCCAACCCATGATTCCAAAGAAAAATTCTGCAGCCTCTTGTTGTTCGGTCTCAAGGCAGTTTATTGTGAATTATCTAAAAGATTTTCTTCTGGGGCTGCTGTGGATTGCTCAGCAGCTCAGGCAGAGGCACACACACACCCTGACATCCTCTCTGACTGTGTCTTCTTCTTCTCTCCCCCCTCCCAGGGCTGCTGCTCTCTTTTATATGGTACATTACATGTTACATATTTATAGTTTTTCCCCAATACCTACTACCTGTATTACAAAGTGCTTTTCTACTCTAAACCAATCTGTGAGTGCCAACATCACCAAGAACATGGAGGCAAGGAAGAAGAAGGAGGAAGAACAGGGTCAGCCCACTTTCCTCCATCTTAGAACTTCTGACCCCCATGTACAAAGTGAAAACTCCCCTGTACAGGTGCTAAAACCCCTCTGTACAATACTAAAAAAATTTCCCCTCTGTTTTGTAACTACCTTTACTATCCCATCTAACCCTTTGTGACTGCTTGTTCCACCTCCAAAGTTGGTAACTCATTCCATGGCTCAAACTCAAAATCACAGCTGTTTGCAGCTGCCTGCCAGGGTCTAAAATGCTCCTGACCAAGGCCTGGAACCTCTAAAAATGTCTGAGAGACATTTTGAGTTCTGACACCTGGCAGAGGTGGGTTCTTCCCTGTTGTCCCAGGTTTCCAAAGCTGGGCTGCTCTGGTGGAGCTTGGGGACAGCACGGTGTGTGCTTTAGGGTGTCCTGCTCCAGCTTTTCCTTTCTGCTGATTTTTCCTTCCTGTGCCCCCAGGAGGATCACGGAGCAGAGGCCGATGACAACGATGACCTGGAGCTCGTCCAAGAGCACAAGGACCGTGTGGGAAGGCAGGGTGGCAAGAAGGATGACTACTTCTGAGAGCTGCTGGAAAAACGGGCTACTGCAGGAAGGAGGGGATGGGAATTCCTCCTGGGAGCTGCCTCCTGCACCAAGCACTGCCCAGAGCGAAGGCAGGAGGAGGGAACTCTCTGCAGCCCCTCGCAGGGGCTTGGCAGATGAAAATCCCACCTGGGTGTGGGGCCCCTGCTGCCTCTCAGAGATCTCTCAGCCTGGGAATGATCTTATCCTGCTGCTTTTCTTAGAAGCACTTTTTTGATTTACTGCGTTCTTCGCCCTCCTGTTTTTCACATCCCCTTTTGAAGCTGGAGAGGGCTTTTTTGGTTGGTTTTGGGGGGTGTTTTTTACCCCCCCTGTGCAGCAGAGGGGTGCCTGAGCTGGTCCCTGGACTCACTCGACTGATCTCTAATACAAAGGAATGTGTCTTCATAAATGATTTTGCTCAGTAGTGTTTCTTTAACACGTCCTTGGAGCAGGGTGGGGAGGGAAGCAGAGGAAATTTCCTGTTCTTTGCCTGGAGCACCAAGCACGGCCAGCAGAGTGTGTGTGGGGGGGGATGTGAACCCCTGCACCCCCTTCCTGCTGCAGAGACCCTCCAGAGACTTGGAGCAGATCCTGGCAGAGCTCTCCTTGCCAGTCCTGCTGGGCTCAGAGTGTCCCCGTGCAATGCTGTGCATCTTCCCTGAGCTGAGAGAGCCTCTTCCCCGTGGGGATGGGGACAGCCACACCAAGAAACGGGGAAAAAAGGAATATTTGCAGCCCAACGAATGCGGTTCCAACCTGTCTGGATTATTTCCAGTTTCCCAACACTTGACAGGGACCTAAAGTCAATTTTGCTTCTTCTAGACAGGTTTTGATCAGCAAGCTGGGAATTGTTGATGGAGAAGATTGAATCCTGTGGGACTTGGCCTCCAAAAGACATCTTACCCGACCTCAGGGACAAAGAAGGAACAGTCAGCTGGACCCCCTGGAATTTAGAATTAAAGGAGAAGGGGTTTAATGATGGTGTCTCGATGCTCAGAACCTGTTTTAAGTGACGAGAACAGGGCAGAGCTGTCCCACTCCCTGTCCTGTGCCTGAGCTGTCTGTGCTTCCTCACCACCAGACTCTGGGACCTCAGTCATCCAACACAGCTTGTGCCTGAATGTCACCACCTGGTAAACAAATCAGAGCATCTTTGTTCTCTATTTCAATTAGTTAAGCTCTTTTTAATCCCTTGTTTGTGGCATATTTTGCAAGCACTTTTAGACACTGGGGAAAACAATATTTATTTCCCAACAAGCTCAGCCTTTTTTATTCTGACAGCATTGATTTTTTTTTTTTGTTTTGTTTTGTTTTGTTTTTTTTCTTCCACTGGTTGTAATGGAGCTTGAAATTTACATTTCATGGGACTTTTTGGTTCTTTGTTTTGATTCTGCTTGTGTTTCTTACCAGTACAATCAGCTGTGCAAGTCCAACCCTGGCACAGAGCGGAGCAGAATAAGGAAAGGGACAATTTTAGGAAATAATCTTTTAGCCAAGTACCAGAGCTGCTCGTGGAGCCCAGTAAGGAGCTCACTACCAAACCCTAGTGGGGTTTAAGATTCCCCAAAATGCCCTGAGATGGTTCAAGCTGCTCTGGTGCTTTGCCAGCCCTGCTGTGATGCAGCTCCTCTATGAATAGCACGCTCACGGCGGAGCAGCTGAGGCTGCAGTTGCTTTTTCAGAGCATCCCGAGCAGATCTGCCTCCCTTTCCTGGGTCAGGGCAGCACCCCTGAACCCCCAGAGCTCCGTGCCCAAGCTGCCCCAGCTCATCTCCCCCTGCTGCCCTCCCTCCCTGCTCTCCCCCAGCCTGGCACTGCTTCAGCCCCGACTGGAAGTGAACCAAGCCCTGGAAATAGAAGCCCGGTGGGGGTGAGGCTGCTCACGGATCCAGGCTGCAGGAGAATCGAAATTAGGAGGCAGATCCTCTGTGTTTGCATGGCTGGGGTGAGTAATCCTCCGAGTTATGACTTGGAGGGAACTGCAGCAGCTCAAGTGGATGCAGAGCTCCCAGCTCGGAGGATGCTTGAGGAACCATATGGCATGTGCTGCCCTCGGCTGAGAGCAAACATCTCTGCCCTGGGGACTGTCTGCCCTGGCCATATCTGAGACTAAAATTAGCAGAGCGTTGCATAAATTGTGAGCTGTAAGGTTGGCAGTGCTTCGCTGCCTGGCCCACAGCGAGTTTTGATGCTCCTTCACCGTCTCCTTGAGAAGAGACAATAAATGCAGTGGAGGAGAAGCAGAAAAGCCAAAGCCCCGTGGTGCTGGCTCTGGCTGGAGCAAAAATCTGGGGTTCACAGCTCGGGGCAGATCACAGGGGTGGGTTGGCCTGAGCAGCAGAATGCTGAAGCAGTGCCATGAAAAAGCCCAGGCTGGGTTTTAGTGCTCAGGAAACAGATGGATTGCTAAGAGACCAAACAAGGAGACCAAGAATTCACAGGGAGCCAGCACGGCCAGGCTGAGCAAGCCAAAGCATGTGGGTCTGCTTGGCTCTGGCAAAAAATATTTGGGTTTTTTTGGCTCAGACACAGCGCCAGGCCAAAAAAAAAAGCGCAGGAGGTGTAGTTAACTTGCAGCGTTGTCATTTTTTGGATGGGTTCACTGCTGTGCCAACCCTTTTCCTTCCTTGCACCACACTCCAGACCCTTGGATGTCGCAGCAGAGCTCGGGCTGAGTTGTTAATCACAAGAAAAGCCAGAGGCTGCTGCTGCCAGATCTCCTCCCTGGCCGTGGCAAGGAGGACAGCTCTGGGAACAATCACCGCCGGGAGGAGAAGGACACAAAGTCTGAAGGAGGAAAAAACTTGCTCGGTTTGGCTCCAGCCACTTGCTGAACGCGCTGACATTTCTCAGGGAGGGCTGCCAGATCTCCAGGTTTGTTTTTTTTTGCATCCCGGCTGGAATGCCACACATAAATTTGCCAAGAAGTGCCTTCAGCAGCACAGCACCTCTCCCTGCTCCAATATCCAAGTGTTTTCCAAGCCATAACTGCACCTTCAGCATCCTTTTCTATGCTGATCCTAATTTTTTTAATTGATCCCTCTTGGTATCAAAAAAAAAAAAATTCCTGGCAATTTTCCATAGGTTAGCAGCCACCCCCGTTAAATCTGGTGAAAAACTAAATGTGGAAATAACCTCCAATGCTTGATATTGGTAAATTAAAGACTTCCTTAGGAAGCATACACTTGGAAAATGCAGTTTTTCCAACAGGAAAAGGTGTCCTGCTGTCAGACCATTCATGTTCAATGCATCAGAAAGCAAAATTATTTAAACAAATTCCACACTATTACAAGTTACACTTTGTGTATGTGCAAGCATCACCTTCCAGGTATGACTTGGGTTTGGTTTTATTCAGGCTATGAAATAAAAATAGTCCTCGGGATCCTATTTTTGTTGTATTTTCGACTTACATAATTCAAATTGTGTTTTGAAAGAAAACATACACAGTTAACTGCAATGTGTTTCTAAGCAGGTAACAAGTGAGGAGCTACAGCAATGTGTTTAGGCACATTTCTGAGGGGTTTAACAAAATAATATGTTAATTATGCTGTTTTAAAAGCTAAATATAGACAAATGCTTATGTTTTGCTCTAAAATCTGGACCACAACTTTATGTAAAACCTGATCAAAACCAAAAAAGAAACGTTGCTTTTTTTTTTTTTTTATTCCCTGCTACTCAGGAAAGGACTTAAAGCCACTTTTACCATTTCAACAGCTCGAAGGCTCTCCAAACACCGTTTAATCCTGTATTTTTGTTATTCTTTCATTAGAGCTCTTTTCTTTCCCCTTTTGGACAAGCGTGCCTCTCTCAAGGTCGTTGAGATTTTAATTACGGTGTGGAGCTGGGATGGAGCGCTGCTGGCTCCTCCTGTGCTGCAGAATCAGCTCCAGAGGCAGGGCTGAGGAAATGGCATTTGGGGTAAATCAGGGAAAGGAAAATCCTTGTTCCTCCTGTCTCAGGGCGTGCGCTAGACCCGGAGTTAGCCCTGCTCCCAGCTCACCTCCTGCGAGTGTCTTTAGCACATCCTCGCCGAGTTTATTGAAATTCCCAAAGCCGAGAGGTTAAAGCGGCCTGGCTGGGCGGTTAGCACGGTGTTCGAGAGAAAATAAAAGCCGTGGGAGCTGCGATTCTTGGGGCAAGGTTTGCATCAGCTGCGGGGGAGCTCCGGCACCTTCCCCAGCCCTGCCACGGACCGCAGCCCTGCTGGTGTCAGCCCCGGGGACAGAGGCACCTCCCGGCCATCCCAGGCACGTTTTTGGGGGGTTTGAACCACCTAACGTGAGGATTGCTGTGTTTCACAGGTTAAATATAGACAAATGCCTATGTTCTGCTATAAAAATTAAAACAGGACGCTGTTTTAATAAAAAACCATATCAAAACCAAGGAGATTTTAAAAAAAATAATAATATTGTTTGTTGTGGGATGAAATCTGTAACTCGACCAAGACGGGACCGGTGGGTACAGCAGAGCTCGGGGGAGGGACGGTGGGGGTTGCACATCCCCTGTGGCAACCCCTGTGGGGTCGGCACATCCCTTACCAACCCCTGTGGGGTCTGAGCATCTCTGTACCAACCCCTGTGGGGTCTGAGCATCCCTTACCAACCCCTGTGAGGTCTGAGCATCCCTTACCAACTCCTGTAGGGTCTGAGCATCCCTGTACCAACCCCTGTAGGGTCTGAGCATCCCTTACCAACTCCTGTGGGGTCTGAGCATCCCTGTACCAACCCCTGTGGGGTCTGAGCATCCCTTACCAACCCCTGTGGGGTCTGAGCATCCCTTACCAACCCCTGTGAGGTCTGAGCATCCCTGTACCAACCCCTGTGAGGTCTGAGCATCCCTGTACCAACCCCTGTGGGGTCTGAGCATGCCTTACCAACTCCTGTGGGGTCTGAGCATCCTTGTACCAACTCCTGTGGGGTCTGAGCATCCCTGTACCAAACCTTTGAGGAGTCTCAGCATCCCCCTGTGCCAACCCTTGTGATGTCTGAGCATCCTTGTACCAACCCCTGTGGGGTCTGAGCATCCCTGTACCAAACCCTTGTGGGGTCTGAGCATCCCCCCCATGCGGGATCACCCCGTGCCCAACCCTGTGGGGTCCCGGCCCCCCGTGCCGGTCCTTGCGGGGTCCCGGCCCCCCGTGCCCACCCCTGTGGGGTCCCGGCCCCCCGTGCCGATCCTTGCGGGGTCCCGGCCCCCCGTGCCGGTCCTTGCGGGGTCCCAGCCCCCCGTGCCCACCCCTGTGGGGTCCCAGCCCCCCGTGCCGGTCCTTGCGGGGTCTCAGCCCCCCGTGCCGGTCCTTGCGGGGTCCCGGCCCCACGTGCCGGTCCTTGCGGGGTCGCAGCACCGCATCCCTCTGCGCGGTCCCTGCGGGCTCTCCGCGCCTCCAGAGCCCGCCCCCGCGGGGTCGGAGCGCCCGGTGCGGAGCCCCGAGCGCCGCGGCCGGGCGGCCACCAGCGGCCGCAGCGGGCGGGTGCTCCGCAGCCCGGCGAGAGTTAACGGCGGCGCCGCCTCTCTCCGCCGCCGAGCCGCGCTCGCCCCGCGCTCGCTCCGCGCTCGCTCCGAGCCTCCATGCGGCGGCGGCCGCCGGCATGCCCGGCACGCCCAGCCTGCTGCCTCCTCTGCTCGCCCTGCTGTGCCTCGGGGTGGCCGACCCCCAGGCCGACCCCGCCGAGCCGTGGTGCCCCTACAAGGTGGGCGGCGATGGGGCGCGGCTGTGCTTCCGCCCGCCGGCCCGCGGCTTCCAGTGCTCGGCCCGCGGCTGCCGCGCGCACCGCTCCGCCGGCGGCGCGCTGGTGGCCAACGTGCTGCGGAACGGCAGCGTGCTGCTGCAGTGGGGGCTGCGGCACTGGGGGCCGCCGCCTCCGCGCCCCTCCGCCGCCCTGCGCGGCTTCGCGCTCAACTGCTCGTGGGACGGCACCTACACGCGCTTCCCCTGCGACAGCGTGGAGCTGGGGGCCGCGTGTCGCGACTACCTGCTGGCCGAGGCGCACGGCAGCGTGCGCTACCGCCTGTGCCTGCAGCCGCGCTACGCCCCGCCGCGCCCCGCGCCGCCCGCGCAGTGCGTGGAGTTCCGCGTGGAGCCCGCGGCCATGCGCGACATCGTCGTGGCCATGACGGCCGTGGGGGGATCCATCTGCGTGATGCTCGTCTTCATCTGCCTGCTCGTGGCGTACATCACCGAGAACCTCATGAGCCCCGCGGTGCGCCGCGGGGGACACGCGGCCGCCGCTGCGCGCCGCGCGTAGTGCGGGAGGGGATGATGGTGATGATGGTGGTGATGATGGTGATGATGGTGATGGTGGTGCTGCGCCCGGCGGCTCCCGCAGCCGTCCTTTCCGCGCTGGGAAGAGGTTTTCCAGACTGTTCTGGCAGCGCTGGCTTTGCCGTGCCCAAATTTCCAGGATGCGCGTTTCCAGCGGAGTTCCGAGCTCTTCTTCCTCCTGCGGTGGCGTCTCGGCCGGAGCCTTCGCGGTGATGAACTCGTGGCGTCTCAGCGGATCAAAAAACAATGGCAGAGGTCCCCAAGTGCCAGAAATCGTCTGTTTTTAAGGGCAAACGGCAGATCCTACCGAGAGCCTGTTTGAAAAGACTCTCCAGAACACCTTTAGTTTGAGCATAAAACCTCTTGGTCTTAGACCAGCGCTTGATTTATTTTATTTTTTTTTTCCTGTGGGGTAAAGTTGTTTAAAGTTCAGGAGAGCTGACTGGTGGGACCACAAACCCCATAGCTAAGTGTGTGTTTGATCCAAAGCCCACTTAATCTCGTGGTTTAGGTGGGTTTTGTATCATGCCTTACGGTGGTCACAAATTTTGGGGCCAATATCCAAAAACGACAGGGGTTTTCTGGTCGGGGGTTTCCTGGTCAGCTCCAGCAACCACCAACATCCAACACCTGCTTTTCTCACATCAGAACTTTGTCACAGTTTTACAAAGAGTGCAGGTAAAGGGATAAATTGAGTAAGAAAACTCCATTTTGTTGAGTAAGTAGGAACCAACCCTTAATTATAAGTAAGATATAAGTGAGCACCCCCTTGGCCCCTGAAATCCTCTCTTTTAGCAAAGCAGCTGCACTGAGGTAGAAGCTTCTTGACCACAGAAGTCACTGATGTTGTAGCCGAGTGTTTTGGGCGTAGGAACACTCCCTGGTAACTCCTCACTTGATGCTGTAGTAAAGTAAGGTTTTAGCCATACTCTAGTACTGATTCTATTGTGCCTTAGTGCTGAGAATTTGTCCCATTTCTATTGGTGTGTACCTGTTCCTCTAGTCCTTGTAGTTAACTGTATCTCCCTCGTGTTCTTGTGTTGTTGGTTGTTGGTTTGTCTGGTTGTTTTCTTTAAAAAACAAACAAAAAAATCAAACCAACTTGGGCTGATCATTACTTGAAATTTAATATATACACAAAGTAGTTACCTTCGGAGAGGTATTTAGTGAGGTAGTTTTTAGTACGTGTTGTTTGTATGTAGTTGACTGCTGTAACACAGAAAATAATTTGTTATCACTTAGGAAGTGTGCTCTTAAAGCAAAAAAAAAAAAAAAAAACAAGTAGGAGAAAGGCTCTTCTGTAAAGGGATTGTGTGATCTGTTTGTGTAAATGTTTAGCACTGGTGAACGACCTGTTTGAAAGTCCTTTGTGAAGTTTAAGCTTGGTGGTAGAGGGTAAATATAGGAAGCGTGTGGAATCCTTAATAATACACAGTATTTGTACTGAACATAATCCCTTCTTCAGGAACTTGGGGGTGGCTGAGGAGCTGCAGGTCTGCATTTCATCAGCACCTTTTCCTTTCTTGTTCCTGCTGTGTTTCCGTGCTGGCTCCATCTGGGTGTTCTGTGCTGGATTTAAGCGACTCACTGGTGCCATCATTTTGGGGTTTTTACCCCAAAGGAGATCAACTGCTGGAAGAAAAGGCAATTTTGAAGAACATTAAGACAAATTTTGGTCTTTTAAAGGTTGCAGGGTTTTTTGGGTTTTTTGTTTGTTTGTTTTTTTGGGTTTTTTTGCTGTATCCAGCTCAGCACAGGAGCATTTGGGTGCCACTGATTTTGTATATTTCTGTCACCTTCTGTCAAACAATGTCATTGTTCTGTTCCTCATCTCGTCACGAATTGCCAGATGTGAAAACCAGCTGTACAAACCACGAGCCTTGTACCACCTTGGCATTGAACTTAATAAATTTAGAGGATGATGAAAAGAAAAGAAAACTTCATAAGTATTTAAAGGTTCAAGATCTTGCTTGACTCAAAGCGAATCTGCCCAAACCAGTCGTAATAATATTCCATTGCCTACTGTAAAATTATGACATGAATGGGAAAATTAGGGATTTATTCTCTGAATACTCCCATTTTATTTACTAGAGGTTTGGACTATAGATAACTGGGTAATTCAGGTGGTAACACTGATGTAAGTCTGAGGAAATGGAAATTTAATTTACAGTTTTGAACGTGCCTCTTCAGTTAGAAGACAGTAAGATTACCTCTGCAGGTAATAATGTAAATGATCATAATAAATAAATAAATAAACACACAAACAAACAAATAAATAATAATAATAATAATGGTATAACCCTAATGGATAATGAGATAACCCTAAAACAGCACCTAGAAGATACTAAAGAGGTGTTTTTGTAGTCATTTCACATTTTTATTCATCAGTCTCTGGGGATTGCATTGCAACAGGGCAGAGGGTAGAAAAATAACATAAATCCTGATAGAAGACAATCTGCAGTTTTCTAAAGGATTATTTTCTCTTTTTTTTTCCTTTTCCATTCATTACGAATGGGATGTGGGAAACAATATCTCAGTTTCTCATTCATTTTCAGTGGATTAATCTTTAATTGAACACATCTGGGTGTGTGGAGAAGAAAATCAGAGTGTTCCCTGTTTGATTTTGTGTGACATTAAGCAAAATACCTGTTGACCCGTCGATAACTGGATTTTTTCCTTCTGTCACTATAGGAATCTCCTCCACCATGAATGTAGACATTTCTTGTGATAATAAAAGGGGAAATTACGTGTACACAAGCTTGGTACTAATTCAGCTGCCACAAGCCTTAGTGTGACTGCACAGTTAAAGCTTTCTCCAGGCTTTGCAGCAATTCCCAAAATGTGCAGAGTGACTTGGGGAGTGATAATCCATCCTGGCCTGTCCAGGCAGCAATAAAGAAGTGGCAGAATGCTGATTTATAACTGCCAAAAAGCTGCTTTGGGAAAAAGTGCAAATAGCTCCTAGGGCAACTACACATTCTCCATGTTTCTAGGCAAGTACCTGCTATTAAAAATCCATGTGGTGCTTTCTTGGGTGTTTTATTATCCTGCATTGATCCAGGCATTTCCAGTACAAACATCAGGCCACATCCAGGAGGTAAAATGGAGAATTATATGCTCAAGAACAAGCTGCTTTTTCCTCGCCCTGTGCTAAATGGGAGGAAAACAACTGCTTCAAATGTGAGCAGCTCAAAGCCCAGCTTGACCCCAGCTTTGAGTGTTCTGGAGGAAACAGTGTGTGCTTCAGGCAAAGAATCTCTCTTCATTGCATTTTGATTTTTTTTTTTTTCTTTTTTGGTGGGATGTAAATTGAAAGCTGACTGGCTTTATTTGGAGGTGCAGGCACAAGCTGGGGTTTTGCTTTCATGGAGATCTGGAGTTTCAGTTTTATGGGGTTGCAAATCATGTTTCAGCAGCCTGTTCCAAAAGAAAGGTGAGCTGGAAGGAGGAAAAGAGGCAGGTAAGAGTGTCACATTCCTGGTAAAAGCTTTGGAATTACAGCAGGGATGCTTGGATGGGGTTTTTTTGGCAGTTTTTAAAACCACCCTGAGACTTGTTTCAACCCAGGTCTGGTCACTGCATCTCTGATCATTCCCTGAGCACAATTACCAGGGGATCAGGTCTTGTTATTTGCAAAATAAGAATTGAGAAGATGATGGGCAGGGATAGGAATGGCTGAGAGGAGACCCAAGGAAAAAAAGTTTTTGCAAGTGCTCAGGGGACACGTTTAGGTGGGAAATGCTGGGTTACAAAAGGGCTGCATGAGGAAAGGGGAAAGATTTCTTTGTTAAATTTGAGGGGGTAGTGAGAAAAGCTTTAATTTTAATGGAAAATATGAGAGAGGGAAAGGCTTTACATAGAGGAGAGGAGAAGGGTGGTTGTGGGAGGAGGAAAAGGCTCTGCTGGAAGTGCTGTGGTGATAATGGGGAAAAATTCCTCAAAAAAACACATTGGGAGGGCAGAAAATATTTTTAGGAAGCACTGAGGAGAGAGTCCTGCCTCACTGGGCTGCGGAATAGATTTGCTCCTTTGATGTCCTGGTTTATCTCCTGTGTTTCTCCTGCTCCCTTACCTCCTCCTGCCATTGAAATAGTGCAAAGAGACCAAAGGGGAAAAACATTATGAGATGGGAAAAAACCTCAGAAAAACGGGATTGAGCTGGGCTGAGCAAGGAGCACCGTGATAATGTTGCCCTGGATGCGAGAAAACAATCCTGAAACCAGCCTGTTTCCCCAGTCGGTGGGTAAATAACATAAATAACAGCAATAACTCCTACTTTTGGCGTTCTGATTTGTGCGGTTTGCAGTAAAAGCGCGTTTCCTCCCGGAATGCAGAATTCCATGTTCAATCCTTTCTGCTCGCTGCGGGTCCCCCTGGGATCATCCAGGGTGTCGAGCCCAATTCTGCTGCTCCTCGGGATGACTCAATCCTGCATCCAAACGCTTCCCCCTCGGCGTTCCGCTGCCATCTAGTGCCAAACTGAGCGAAATTTGGGCTAAAAACCTGCTTTTTTCTGGCTTTGTAACTGCGCAGCCCGGAGAGGCAGCAGGATTCGGGGATTGCTGCTTCGGTGGTGGGAGTTGTATTCTAAAAAACCTCCAATTTCTACTTTTCCACCCTGTGTGAATTCAGATGTCACACTGCTAAAACCCTTGTGACTTGTAATTCCTCATACAAAGTTGGCAGTGTTCCATGGGCTAAAATCGAAGCCACGGATGTTTTTTGACTTCTTGCCAGGGTCAAAAAACGCCAATCACTTGGTTTTTAAATTTTTTAAAGTTTAATAATAATAAAATTATTATAAAAATAGTAATACAATTAGAGTAATAAAGTTTAGAGTTAGGACAATTGCAAGACAATAAAAAACAAAGAATTATGGACGTCCGGATGCTCTCGGACACTAAGTCATGAAAAGCATGTTTTGTGAACAAAGGAATAATCTTAAAAACAACAGCCTGTTGCATATTCATACATCCTTCATGGTTATGCATACATTCTATTTAAAACAAGAACTCTGTCTGTTGTATGTCAGCTGTTTCCTTTAATCCCCACAGCGTCTCCGAGTCTGAGCAAGGCCTGAAGAAATTAGCTTCTTCTGATAAGAAACCCATAAATTCCTTTTCTTTGGAAGATTCAGGTGTTCCTGGAAGCGAGTATCCCATTCCTAAAAAAAAAAAACAACTCCCCCCACATCCACAGTCTCTATTTTAACATTATGTTGGAACCTAAAACTATATTTAACACGCTACTTAAGAGAATTAATACAGCATCACTTTCTAACATTACACATATAATATTCATTGCAATATTTGCGAAATTAGCTCCTTCTGATAAGAAAACCATAAATTAATTTTCTTTGGAAGATTTAGGTGTTCCTGGAAGCGCGTATCTCATTCCAAAAAAAAAAAAACTCGCCACAGACTATGCATGTGGGGAGTTTTTTTTTAGGAATGAGATACACATACATCTTTTAACATGATGTTGGAACCTAAAACTATATTTAACACGCTACTTAAGAGAATTAATACAGCGTCACTTCCTAACATTACACATATAATGTTCATTGCAATATTTGCCAAAAGCCAATCATAAAACGGGCATTTTTCACACACTCCGCTCGCCCTCACCCAGTAACCTCCGGGGCCGCTTCCTTCTCCGGTCCTCCCCTCACGGCGGCCGCGGCTCCGCTCGCCCGGCTCCCTCCGGTCCCTTCTCCGGTCCTCCCCTCACGGCGGCCGCTCCGCCCTGGTCGTGCCGCGGTTATCCGCGGCGGAGCCCGGCTGACACGTCGGGCGACCCACACTCCACTCACCCTCGTCCACCTCCCTCCATCCCCTTCCTTCTCCCAGCCTTCCCCTCACGGCGGCTCCTCCGCCGCGCTGTGCCGCGGGTCCACTCACCCTCCTCCATCTCCCTCCAGCCCCTTCCTTCTCCCAGCCTTCCCCTCACAGCGGTCGCTCCGCCACCGCCTCCACCGCGCTGCGGTCCTGCTGACACGTCGGGCGACCCACACTCCACTCACCCTCGTCCATCTCCCTCCATCCCCTTCCTTCTCCCGGCCATCCCCTCACGGCGGCTCCTCCGCCACCGCCGTGCCGCGGCTCCACTCGCCCTCGTCCATCTCCCTCCATCCCCTTTCCTTCTCCCGGCCATCCCCTCACGGCGGCTCCTCCGCCGCGCCGTGGCCCCACTCGCCCTCGCCCAGCACCCTCCGAACACGTCAGGCGACCCATATTCCGCCCTCGTCCATCTCCCTCCAGCCCCTTCCTTCTCCCGGTCCTCCCCTCACAGCGGTCGCTCCGCCACCGCCTCCACCGCGCTGCGGTCCTGCTGACCCGTCCGGCCACCAACGCTCCACTCGCCCTCGCCCATCTCCCTCCGAACACGTCGGGTGACCCACATTCCACTCGCCCTCCTCCATCCCCCTCCAGCCCCTTCCTTCTCCCGGCCATCCCCTCACGGCGCCTCCTCGCCGCGGCTCCACTCGCCCCTGTCCATCCCGGCCATCCCCTCACGGCGGCCCCTCCGCCGCGCCGCGCCGCGGCTCCGCCCGCCCTCGCCCAGCACCCTCCGAACACATCAGGCGACCCATACTCCACAGCTTAACTCTACCCCAGCCCATCTCCCCCCAGCCCCTTCCTGCCGCCGGCCCGCCCCTCGCGGCGGCCGCTCCGCCCGCGCCGCGCCGCGGTTGGCCGCGGCGGGCCGCCGCTGGCACGTCCCGTCCCCGCCCGCCGCGCAGCCGCCGCCATTTTGTGGAGCGGCGGGCGGCAGGCAGGGAGGGAGGCGCGGGCCGCCGCAGCGCCGTGCCCGCCATGCCGTCCGCGCCGCTCCGCGTGGCCGTGGTGTGCTCCAGCAACCAGAACCGCAGCATGGAGGCGCACAACATCCTCAGGTAACCGCTGCTGCCCGGTTCATCATGCCCGCCGTGCGCTGTCAGGGAGGCGCGGATGGGGCCGCGCTTTGCGGCCCGGCAGGCCCGTGGTTGCGGTACAGCGCCTTGCCTTCACCCTGCCTTCGTCCCGCTCGCACCCGCTTTTCACCTCGCCGACACTTTGCTTGTACGGCCTTTTCACCCCCGCTTTTACACGCTTTTTGCCCCGTTTTCAGCTCGCCTCCTCCGCGCCCCGCTCCAGGCCGCGGTCGGGGTCCGGCCCTGCCTGACGGGGCTGAGGCAGCGCTGGAAACACGGGCTGGGCACTTGGGTGGAGCAGGGCCTGTGGCTCGGCGTGTGGAAACTTAAATAGCCCCTTTTCCCTGTTTTTGGTTTTTTCCCCCATTTTTTTTTTCTTTTTTTTTCTTTTTCTTGAGCCCATCTGAAAGAGGCCCACAGGGAAGCCGGAGAGGGTCTCTTCGTCAGCAGCCGGAGTGATAAGACAAGAGAGTGAAAGAGGAAATTTAGGTTAGATGTTAAGAAGAAATTTTTTTCAGTGTGGTAAAAAGGGGTGGTAAGACGCTGGCACAGGGAGATCGTGGCTGTCCCATCCCTCCAAGTGTCCAAGGCAAGGTTAGGACAGAACTTGGATCAGCCTGGGGTGGTGGAAGGTGTTGGGTTTTTAGGTCCCTTCCCATCCCTTATCATTCTGTGAAGACTGAACCACTCTGTGCCCTAAAAAGGAGCCCTTTCCTCTCACAGGAAAACCAGAACATTCGGTTCAGAATGCTAAATGTCTTTGAGATTATGAGTGTTAATCTGTTTAGCACTCCCAGTGCTCTCAGCTTGGCTGCAGAGGTGAGATGGGAGACTTGGGACGGACGGACGGACAGGAGAGACCTGATCTGCCTGAAATCGTGTCCCTAAATCCTCCCCTTGCGCTGCAGGAACATGATAACGATGGTCGGGTTTATTTTATTAAAGTTATGCAAAGAAGCACTCACATTAGAAATACACGTTGATGGCATAATAAGCAAAACAACTGTGCATAAGTTGCGTGCTACATGTAAATAAAAATAAAAGCTTTGAAAGGAATAAAGAATAGAAGCATTTGGCCTGGCAGCCATCTTACTGTGACAGCATATCATGCACTTCACGCTCACTCTTGGCACAGGATGTTACCTGTGGCAGTTCTGTGAAAACATCACATTGTTTTTCCTCTAATAATGCTGGAACTGAGTTTTAATTGACAGCTGAGTGTTAAGGACAAAGTTAAATTTACTTCTGATGTCTGGCCTTTTCCTGCCCCTGTGTTTTTGCAGAAATAAATCACTTCCGGTGTGACTGATGTTTGCCAAACGTGGCAGGGGTGGTTTTTAAAAGTGTTCTCCCTTAAGATTTGAATTTAAAAGTAGTAAAACAGCATTTAGAAAACATTTTATTAACATCTTTTGTAGCTACAGCAGCAGTAACATAAATGGCAAAGCAGAGATAAATTGCTGATGCTGCTGTAAAGAAATAACAGCCTTTTTGCCAGTAAACTTCAGGAAAATGTCTTCTGTTGGCTCCAAGCCAGCCTGCCTCACCAGTTCAGGGCAGTGTGTTGCAATGCAGTTGGAAAGAACACATGATTAAAAGAGGAAGAAGCTGAGGAATTACAAAACTTCAAGGTATTTTGTTAGTGGATGACAAGACTTTAAAAACTCAAATTCTTTGTGCTGTCGAAAAACAAAGCCTGGGGTCCAGCATTCAGTGTGTTTTGTAATTAACCAAGTTTTAAACACTTTGTTCTAATTTTCCAGCAGAAGTCAGGCTGAAGGTCTGTCTGGAGTTTGTTGATAGAGTAAGAGCCATCACCGGGGAGCAGGAGGAGCAGTGCAGAAAGCCAAAAGCTGCCAGGCTGGCTGTGTGTAACCCGCCCTCGGTCAGCCCTTACTCACCCTGCATTATTTAAATGCTTTTGCAGCCTCTGCTGGGGTGGGGTGAGGTGAGAAGAGAAGCAGAGCAGGTCTGGGTGCTGTGTAAGCCCTGCACAGCAATAACAAAAACATCCTCCTGTTGCAAACACAAATCCACAGATCAACTCCACCCCAGCCGAAACCAGCACGTTCTACAAGTGATACTGTCTTTTATTTTATGCTTTGTCCTAAAACATGTAGACTCAGGCCATGGTTCTCCCTCAGAGGAGGAAGGCAGGAGGGTAAATCTCTTTCAGCCAGACTTTTTTATGCAGCAACTTCCACATTTCTGTTTGCTTGGTAGTACCCTGATGGCTTTGGAAGGAAGTTACTGTGTTCAAGTTCTCTGGGTCACTTACTGGCAATAAAAATTTCTAAAATGGTGATACACACTGCTGCCACATATTCCTTGTTGTAGAAAGCTGACTTTTAGGAAGTTAGTATTAACATGAGATCTTAGCGGCAGCAAGAAAATTAAAATATTGCAACCCCTTTATCAAAAAGTTCTCATATTAATGTTAAGAAAACTTAAGTTGTTTCCAGAAGTTGTTACTCACAGCTTCTCTCCTGGCATCACCTGTCAACACCAAAGTACAGGGAGGGATTGACATCTGTATTGCCTAATTTAAGAAATCCTAAATTAATAACCCCCCAAGAAGGGGATATTTTCACA